TAAACGCCAAATAATTATATTTTCCAATTATAGGCTAGATATGCTGCATTTGGCTTCAATGCTATCGTTGTAGATGGCCATAATTTTGAGGAGCTTATCAATGCTTTGGAAACAGCGAGAAACACCAAAGTAAGCGGCAACTTCAACACACTGTAGCTGGATTCAACACAGTCTTTTAGGACAAGCCGACCGCCATCATTGCAAAAACATTCAAGGGACAAGGTATCGAAGGTGTTGCTGACCAGTTAGACTGGCATGGAAAACCAGTTCCTCTAGATAAAGTGTGGTTTTGCTAAACTCAGTATTATGATTTTTTACGTTCTTTGAGATTACATAAATGTTTTACAGGTTAATGCAATCAAAGCTCGTTTGCATGGGAGCCAGAAAGGTAAATTAGTTGCTAAGAAGCCAACTGATGATGCACCAAAAGTCGATTTGCACATTGGCTCTATAAAAATGGCTCCTCCTGAATACAAGAAGGGCGATAAAGTTTGTTAAACTTATCAAACGAATTCCGCAGCAATGTAAGCGATTTGTATAGGTGGCTACAAGAGCTGCTTATGGTACTGCTTTGGCTAAACTTGGCGATGTTAATCCTCGTGTTATTGGCTTGGATGGAGATACAAAGAATTCTACTTACTCTGAGAAGCTTCTTAAGGTTATTTTCTCAAACTTCTACTAAGTCGGTGATGCTCGCATAATACATATCATTTTCAAGAAACATCCTGACCAATTCATTGAATGCTTTATTGCTGAGCAGAACCTCGTTGGCGTAGCAGTTGGTGCTCAATGTAGGGATAGAACGATTCCTTTCACGAGGTAAGAAGATTATTGGCAATTGTCACTTTTCTGGAAAATGCACAAGTTTGTATCATCAAGAAAGATCTCTGAACTATTTATTGAATACCATCTCATCCTCTAGCACATTTGCTGCGTTCTTCACCCGAGCTTGCGACCAAATTCGTATGGCTGCTGTTTCCTTTGCAAACCTGAAATGTGCTGGTTCACATGTTGGCGTCTCAATCGGTGAAGATGGTCCGAGTCAAATGGCTCTTGAGGTATGGGTTTTCTAATATCCTTTTTTTGACGTGAAATTTTTACAATTCTCTTCACATGCTCATTTACGATTGGAAGAAAAAGAAGAATTGATTGATGCAGTACTCCTCTGTACCTGTGCTGCACAGCAATGATTGAAAATGTTAGATTCCTCTAGAAAAAAATAGTGATTTGCAAGAAAGTAGATTACTAGGGGACAAGCAGTATTAAACAAACAATTTTGGAGGTAGTATTAAGTTAATACGTTAAGGAAAGGCATCGACAGTAGTTACCGTCGAAAATTTTCACCAGTTTGTACATAATTAAGTCATGAATTATTAAGGGATGATAATTCTCTTCTGTTTTAATATTGAGATGACCGTTGATGAATTAAGGATTTGGCTTTGTTCCGAGCTGTTCCTGGATCCACCGTATTCTATCCCACGGACGCAGTATCGGCTGAAAGAGCTACGGAACTTGCAGCTAATATCAAAGGAATTGTCTTCATTCGTACTGGCCGTCCTGCTCTTCCTGTGCTTTACGATAATAACGAACCATTTGCAGTTGGAAAGGCTAAGGCATGCTTTTACAATGATCTGTGTCCGGTCAGATTAGGCTCCGGTCACTTTTAGATAGTGAAAATGTCGCCTAATGATAAAATTACTTTGATTGGTGCTGGCGTCACAATATACGAGATCATGAAGGCTGCTGATGAGCTGGAAAAACAGGGTGAGTCGACATGAAATGCTAAAGGGTTTACTCTGACTTAAACTTTGTCCTTTTCAGGTGTGCATTGTTGCATTATCGATCCTTTCACTATCAAGCCCTTGGATGAGGCCACCATTGTTGAACATGCTAAGCGAACAGGTGGTAAAATTATCACTGTGGAGGACCACTACCCAGCCGGAGGAATAGGAGAAGCAGTGAGTAATTTTTTTCTAACCAAAAACTTTTCCTCATACCCTTTTTTTGACAAAAATTTTTAGGTATCTGCATGTGTTTCTGATCACGGGATCCGCGTTCACTCGCTATGCGTGCAAGACGTTCCTCGCTCCGGAAAGCCTGAGGAGCTTATTGACCTATTTGGCATTTCTGCTCGTCACATTGTTGAAGCAGTTAAAAAATTCTGAACTTAGCAAGAATCGTTTGACTGATATTGTTGAAGGAAGTCCGAGGAAATTTTGTTTTCTACATTCCTTGAAGTTCTAGCGTTCTCTTCACTTTCCTTAACTTCCGGTAGAGAGCTATTGTTGTTTAGAGTTTACGTATAGATTTTAGCTTCGTAGTTGTTTACTTCTGTTAAGAATAAAACTATATCACTACTAGTCTCCATGTTCCTTCATCCTTGAACCGGGGCATGTTAGTTTGTCAGTTGTTTAGAAGTGTTTTGCCGAAACCCGGTTTTAGGTGGAATCTTTATTGCCTGACCTTTCGACGTTTCCGTCTTTTT